TACGGGGCAATCCTCACTGAATCTCAATTTCACGAATGCGTAAAACGCATCTCCGATTTGTTCCACAAAGTACATTCCAAGTATGATACAATCTTCCGGACAGTGTTAAAATGTGTGGGGACGAAGACTATTTGCGCGTCTCATTTTCTGGAAATGATTTTGTTCGAAGAAACATTTGTTGCAAGGTCTTTCGTAATATGTTTTTGTTCGTATTAGTATATACCGATTAAAATACACTTTACGTAAACGCTCCTCTTCGCAAAAATATCCTGGCAAAGGATAAGACGCGCAAATGTCTCTTTTTCATATTCTGTAATTAATACAAAAACTTCAAGCCTCAGTGATAAATACGTATATAGTTTTAGAAATAAGATAGGTATATTTGTTTACATGTTGCTCTGAATATCTCTTGTTTTCCATATTATTTATCGATAAAAAGACCGATTGTACATACTGTCGAGAACTTTGTAAAAAAAAAAAAAAGAGAAAAAGGAAAGATGTGCGCTCTGCGATAATACGCAGGTGTCTTCTTAGCCCCTGGACTAGGAAACTTGTTGTAATAATCATGTTGCTTATTGTATTCCGATTATTGTATGTTTTGATATCTACGATATTGTACAATTCTATCAAATAAGAATAAAACGTGAACTTTTACAATACGATCTATTGACTATCGCTTTTAGTTTCGCCGAGACGAGGAAGATAATTTCTCAAATTGCACAGGTAAAAACTAGAAGTAATTTTATACAGATTGACTGAGAAACATTGAAACTTTCTGTGTGATTGTATAGTGGCTTTGAAAAATATAAAATGAAGTAACTTTGGACCAAATTGAAAAAAATGCCTAGACAGCAAAGAATATAAAACGTCTTAAAAACGTTTTTCTTCTTGTTAAAATTCGAATCAAAGTTACTTTACTTTATGATAAACTAGTAAAAGTTGAATTATCTCAGCTCGGATAGGGCAATACAGAACTTTTCGCACGCACGAGATGTGTGTATATGTATAATATATTTTTTTTATTATATTACCTTATAAATATATCTCTTTCGGAGATTACTTCGCCGGGACAATATGCGGTGCGACAATAAATAAATAAGTGAATACAGTCGTGTGATTTTCCCTTGTTCTTTGCTTTCTCTTCAATATAAGCACTGTCATTTTCGATAGTCGAATAATAATAATAATAATAATAATAATAATAATAATAATAATAATAATAGTAACGATATCTTAAAATTACGGTTTTAATTTCCGAGAAGAATATTGTATTACAATTTATAATAGTACCTTGTAGCTACAGCCTCTCTTCTACACCCTGCATACAAATTTACTACCACCTAGTGTCTAGGAAAAAAAAACGTTTAGAATTGTAGCTATGCGTTTCTTTTTTTCTCGTTTTCTTTTTATCTCGTCTTCGCTACTTCGTTCTGTTCCAGATGAGGTAGATCCGAACTCGATCGCTGATACAGAAAAGTAGTCTCGCGCGACAAAAAAAATCATTACAAAAATTGAACTGTTGGCGACTCGAGCGCTCTGCTCGCTGAGATTCTCCGAGATAGTCCGTTAACAGAACGGAATGGGATCCCTGTTCTCCTTTATCCTTTTGAAAGGTCGCGATGGAGAAATAAAAAGCGCTTCGCTCGTCGTCGAGACGAAGGAACTGCCGGTTGTAGATCGACCTCCTCTTTAACAGTGAGACTGACTTGGATGGTTGCGTGCACATAAATCGTTATAATCTCGCCTACTTGACTGCGGATAAGTGTAATGTATTATTTATTTCTTTTTTTTTTTCCTTTCTCAGACACGCCAGAGACATTACGAAAATAATATACCAATAGCTCTGTCTTCCCCGCGCTCGTCGGCGAACATCACTCGATTACATTACACATGCATCATTAATAATAAGAATCGATCGTTACTGTTGCGCTTAATAAGGGATTGTTATCGTCTATCACAAAGATCCGGTAGATTTCTTACATGATTTCTTGGGTAATCTCGGCTTCTTAAATTATGTCGCGAAAAAGGGCAGGAGAAAGGGGATTCAAAATCGACGATCGCGGAATTACAATTGTTTGTCGAAGCCGATGGTTATTTAATATTTAATCGGCAGGAAAAAGAGAGAGAGAGGGAGAAACTCGTAGATCGTATTACAGGCGCGTTACAATTTCAGCGCAACATGATTGAGGGGAAGAAATACATTCATCAGCATCTAAAGGAGGACGTGTGTTGAAGAGAGAAACATTAACATTATTAGGTGTCTGTTAGGTATTATATGATAAATCGTGCATAAAACGCATGCTTGTCTTCTTTCACAACGGAAGGGAACATACCCTTTCCTTTACATTGCGTCGCGAAATTATGTCCGTGACACTGTTACGTGTGTGTGTGTGCGTGTATGTGTGTGTGTGTGTGTGTGTGTGTTCTGTGTGTGTGTGTATCGTATATTTACATACATCCGACAAAAATAGCTTAACGATAATTGCACTCGCATTAATGCACCACACGCTTGTCGGTCGTTTACGCCCACATACGAGCAAAGAGGAGAGGAAAAAAAAAGAACACAACTTCCTCGTCCTCGATACAATTATATATATCACAAAAGTTAAGAGAGAACTTGGATGGTGTGATAAAAAAAAAAAAGAAGCAAAGTATTAGCCGAATACTTCTAGAGACGCGTTTACATTACGCCTCGCTCCATCCCGTGCCATCATGCTCCACGATAAAGCTTTTACAAGGGTGCAAACTCACTATACCCGTTACCCTTAAATAAACCCCGCGAGCGCTCTCAGTTTAGCTCAGCTCTGAGAATTTCCGCATCGTAAAGGATCGAAAAAAATGTATCCGCATTTTATTAATAGCTTGCGACGAAGAGGGAGATTACATTGATTATGAGCGCAATCGAGAGCCTCTCGTGAAAGTGACGATGAATTCAAGGATCGCAGAATGACATCGATAATGAGGAAATGCAATGCCATAAAAGCTATCCGTTAGCGTATTCTCCTTGAGGTATCTACAATCAGAGTTTAAAACGTAAAACTTAAACTCAAGAAGCCTTAAATCGTAAGAAATGGACCAATCATAGTTGATTAATCGACTATAATCCGAGGGAGTAATCACTTAATGTAATCGTGGGACATTCAGAGTCCCTGAAAATTATAAAATGCATGTAAAATTCCAATGTATAATCCGATTATTATATATGCAATTACGAGAAATAATTATGTGATATTAGATAAAATCAATTATTTTACCAAATGACTTCATATATAATGAAGAAAATTATTTGTCAATTGAAATCAAATGAAATCATGAAATCATGTAATCTGTGGATTACCTCCTCGCTACCGATCAATTTCTTATTGCATGAAGCTTAAAGTTTAAGTTTAATGTCTTGAAATCTCATCATAGACATCGCTTTACAGAAATTTAATACTGAAAAGTAGTAATTAATTACTTATTTTGAGTTTTAAAAGCTATTGTTCTGTGCTTTCAATATTCAAAATAAGTAATTGATCATTACAATCTTTCAATATTAAATTGAATTTCAGTAAAAGTCGCTCGAAGTCATTCGCGATTAGTCGAGCTTTATCGCGATTACAAATTAGTAACAATGACTATCTCATAATCATACAAGAAAAGTCTTATAAAATGGATTTACAAAGAGACGTACAATATTTGTATAAATTGGACAGAAAAAGAGCATAGAAAATAACATAATATAGGACGCGCGAGAAAATCCAGTTAGGTTTAACAAAAAAAAAAAGACAAAACAAATCGCGAGGATTTTTCGAAAAAGATCAATGATGACGACGCGCGAGCGCGAAACTCTGACAATTTCTTCCTCGTTTCCTCTTTTACTCTTTTTTCCCTCCTCTTAGAAACGCATTAAGCGGGTTTCATCGTTCGCTCGTAATCTGAAGAAGTGAGGATGAAGAAAGTCCGAGGCTCGTTGGAAGAAGGCCGAGACTTCTCGAATCGCTCGATGGTCGCCGGGCAGCAGCAGTAAAAGGAGCGTATCGGGGATAAATTAATCTAAATTAGACGCACGCGAGAGAAATGGTCGGCGAACTATACACTGTATACGCACGATAGAACAGTGATCGTTCAAATCGCTCTACTTCTCTGTCGCGGATCAGGTCCTCATGAATTTTCTTCGCTTCGATAAGATCGCGCACGGGTAAGACTGGCCGCCGTAACGCACCGAGAATGTTCTGGAGAGACAATTTCCTCACTTGATCGGGGGTCAAGCGTGCCCTCCGGCGGGATGCGCGCGGGAATTTCTACATTCCTCGGTTTCACGACGCTAGAACTCGGTCCGAATTCTCATTTCTTACACTTGGAGATCGGATAGTGTTACAGTAGAATCCACAGTGGTATTTATGCCCGTTATGGTATTAATGCCCGTCTTCTATAGATTAACAACTTTAATCTCGGTTTAACTCTTTATCTTTTTCTAGTTCTAACGAGGAAAGGAAGTGAACATTTCAGATAAAAATAAATAAGTTTTTTTTAGCACTATAAACTCGAGTGTAATTATATTAATTCAGGAAAATACACTCTATAATCCTGCCAAGTTTCATTGAAATCGGTGAGAACTACTTCTGAGTTTTTCCTTGTAAGAATTATGTTTATTTCTACCAATATGTAAATTAGCTTTTATCTCTGTTTAACTTTGCTCCTTATTTTCTTTCAAGTTTTAAAAATTACGTCCATTTCTACTAATGCAGATAAGCTTTAATCTCGGTTTAATTTGCTTTTAATCCTTTTCTCTCTAATATTTCCACGAATATAGATTAACTGTTGCATCAGTTTAACTTATTCTTATCTTCTTATAATTTTCAGAAAGAAGATAAGAAGCAAGTTAAATCGAGATTAAAATAAATTATCAATGTATAGAGATTAACTAATCTTAATTAACTTACTCTTTACCTTCTTCTGATTTCTAGAAACAGATAAAGAGCAAGTTAAATAAAAGCTAATCTACATATCGGTAGAAATAGACGTTAAAAAAAGAGACAAAGAACAAATTAAATCAAGATTAAAATTAATCTGCATTGGTATAGATGAACATACATACAATACAGCTTGTAACCGAGATCTTATTACGAGTTCTAGCGACGAGTTCCGTAGATATGAATCCGTACACTCTTATCGCGAACAGAAATATTCTTATCAGCTAACAGAGAAATTTCTTACAAATACGAATACTTGTATAAGCCGCGATCATCTTCACACTCGCTCGAAGCCGCATGTCCAATCGTCTTCTCGATTAGTAAATTGGTATCTGAACTAAACCCTTTTTAAATATTCGTTGCCTCTTTCCCAAGATCTTCGAGGATCGTCCTGGTCAACGCGATCGCACGATCCTCGCTACGAGCTCGTAAGATTGCGGCAAGTTTTTTTATGTTCTTTTTGTTGAATTTTCAGATTGAATGCGACTTGAATAGAAACACTAAAGTACAAATTATTCTGAGAGAATGGCGAGAGGCTTCTCCGTGTAATTCGTTCGGACATTCATTTTAATATCTATTCATTATCGAATCATTATCATGCATATATATGTATGTGACATTAAATTAAATAATTTATAAAAATTAACTATTTACATCGACAGGACATGCAGCGCTTGTGACACACATATATATATGCCATATACATATTTATATAAATGTATGTACATGTCATATATATTGTATATAATTTAATGCAACTTATCTTATATATACCTAAGCACATGCTTGCTCTGAGAAAAAGAGGAAAGAAACAATTAAAAGAACTGGCGGTGCTCTCTCCTTGCGGATAATATAGTACTATGCCCTTACTTCAATATTAATAATTATAACATTTATGCATATCCGTTATACATAAGAACCGCTGGAATTCTTTTGTTTTTGTCGATGAAAGCGTTCTTGCATTCGTTTTCTGTAAAAGTGAAGGGTATTTTGGCATTATGCGATCACGATCACTGTACGCTGTTACCCATATCTGTGTGTGTATGTAATCAGGAACATGGAAAAAAAAGAGGAAAACAAATAAATATATAAAATAAACATCGGTCACAATCAAATAAAATTCATATTTCGTGAAATCAGCATTGTGTGATATAAATGATACGGCGCGGTAATCGCAACTGAGAATGTCTCAAATAAACTCGCCATGCAAAAGGATGCGTTCGATTGTACGTTAAAAAGAAACGTCGCGAGGTTTGTTCGCTTTTTTTTTCTTTGCTTTCATTCGCTTATTTCCTCTTTCATGAAATCGCGCAAGAAGCTTCGTGCCAAAAATAGTAGACGTAACAAAAATCGACCCACTTACTCTAAAGCAGCACTGCCTGGAGGGGAGCCGTCACCCCTTTTGTAATGCAAAACCGAACAAACCCACACAACGACATACAATGTAGGCTTTTTAATTAAGTGAATCTAAAAAAAGAAAAACAAGATGATTGTATACATGTATGTACATATATAAGACGAAGAAAGTTTGCGAAAAAAAAAGAAAAAAAAAAGAGACGACGAGAGATGACTTTATAACTGGCGCGGTTCGTAGTTGGATGGAGACAGAAGGGAGAAATTATTCCTTACCACGATTGCCGGTTCTGATGATGTTGACGTTACTCAAGTGATGCTGACCGGCCCGAATCGGCTTCGCTATCTGCGCGCTCGGTCCACGACGCGCCAGATTCTTTTGCCTGACTGCCTCCTTGATTCGGTCCACCTCGTATTGGTAGCGCTTACGGTCTCGCATCGCACCTTCCTTAGCGTCGCGAAGCGCCGTCTCTAGGGCCTTGACGCGCTCCATTGTCGCCCGTAATCGTTTCTCCAGTTTAGGCAACTCGCAGCGGAGATCTGCGTTATCTCTGACGAGTTGTTTATGCACCTATAATATAAATATGTCTTATATACATTATTGTGTGTGTGTGTGTGTGTGTGTGTGTGTGTGTGTGTGTATACGCACAGAATTAATAGTATACTATAATATAAATTAATAGCATATTAACACATTCCATAGTCGAGCTAATTTTAAATGACTTGATCACATGTTGCGACTTGTGATATGTTTTGAGTCCGTTCTATTTGTTAAATAGTATGTATTTAGTAGTTAAAAAAATTATTATATAAAAAAGCCTAATATATCAATATTGCATCATATGCCTGCATATATAGTTATGTATCGATGTATAACAAAAAATAATTTTTTAATTACGTTTTTTTATATCCAAAACATTAAATGAATCTGAATAATTCATTCATATCTGAATGAAAAATCTAGCGAGCATCACCAGTACGGAACAAGAGAGTATAATAATAGTACAAATATAAATAAAAATAACAAGGGAAAATTATAATTATAAATTGATTATAATTAATGTGATGTATTAATAGAAAATATATCGTTAAAGAAATGTAAATTAAGATGTGATATGCACACATACAAGCTGTACCTTTGTCAACTGGTCCAGATTGTTTTCCAAGAAGGATATTTTCTGTTTCTGTGCAAGAGAACCACCGTCATCCTCATTATCCTCTGCATTGATGGTCTTCTTTATTCTAGCCTGCAGATCCTGAACGAACAATTTGCGTAAATTGTGCAAAGTCTGCAGTTCTTTGGCTACTGTGTCCTCCAATCCTTTGAGATCTTTCCTTGCCTGCAATTGATTCGATATGATCACAAATTTATTTTACACATCATAAATAGAGAAATTAATTAATAGATCCGTGTAAATTTAATAGATTACTCGTTGCATGAATTTGTTCAACGTACTTGTTCTCGGCGCTCGTTCAACAACATAAGCTCCTGCAGCTTGACTGATTTGTTAGCCTCCTCTTGCTTCAATCGTTCATAATCGGCCTGCATCTGCTGATGTGCCAGAGTAAATTTCTGATTAAGGTCTTTAAGTTCGCTGATCAGTTCCTGCTTCTCAGACAGTTCGTCCCTCAGCGCAGCAACCTTTAGTATGAAATCCAACAT